AAGAAAACAACTAGTGAAATAAAGATGGTACAAGATTTTAAAACTCTCACTGTCAATCTTTCTTTTTCTTTTCTTTTTTTCTTCTTTAGTTGTTGATGGACATTTATTTTATTCATTCATTTATATGTGGTGCTGAGAATCGAACCCAATGCCCCACACATGCCAGGCAAGCACTCCACCACTGAGCCACAACCCCAGCCCGTCAGTCTTTCTTAAAGTAAACATGACCCTGTGGTCTTAAGGAAATGGAAAATGATTTTGATAATTCCACTGAGCGGTCTTATATGAAGGGCAAACAGAAGGATAACTCAACTTCCATGGCCAAAACGTGAATTTGGGAGTTGCTTGCTTTAAAACAAAATAAGCAAAATATTTTGTTACTAGATTCCCACTGTGCACTCTATGCTTTCCTGTTAGAGAAAATGGAAGCTTGAAAAAGAATCAAGGCCCTCAGTTAGGAAGCCTGCTATGAGTCGTGCATGTACTTTAATAAAGAGGTTAGAGATTATCCAGCTTGCCAAGGCTTAGCAGCTGGTTAGTGTCTGCTTCATTCAAAGTCAGCCTTCTTTCCACTGTGTCAAACTGAGTCTCTTCTGTAAAAAAGGTCTAAATTACATTGTGAAAGTGAAGTTTCGAAGTCTCTGATATTTTAGCCCAACAATTAATTTAACTGATAATTTGAGAATAGAGTGTTTAGTTTGTGCCAGGCAGCATTGTAAGCTGTTTCCATGTATGAATTCTTTAATCTTTCCACAGTTCTCAGAGAGCTACTGTTATTACAAGCTAATTTATCAGATAAGAAAACCTAGGCTTAGAGAGGTTATGTAAATTGTTTACCCATATTTTTTTCCTTTAGCTACTCTAAAATATAATCCACCTTTACTATAATGGCATTAAAAAGATATTATACAAAAATAAAATAAATTTTCACATGAGGCTCAGTGGTGCATGTCTGTAATCCCACTGGCAACTGGGGAGGCTGAGGCAAGAGAATTGTGAGTTCAAAGCCAGCCTCAGAAACTTAGGGAGGCACTTAGCAATTCATTGAGATCCTGTCTCTAAATATATGTTAAAAAGGGGGGGCTCGGGATGTTGCTCAGTGGTTAAGCACCCCTGGGTTCAATGCTCAGTAAAAAAAAAATTGTTTTTTCAAAATAAGGTCACTTATATACATTTATTCTAAATGTGAAGGTTTAATGCAGATTAAAAATAAACATTAATAATTCTGACAAACTTAGGTGAAATATTATAAATTAATGATTAACTTATCATTAAACTATGCACTCACAGGCATTGAACCAGATTCCTTCCTATATGACTAAAACTATGAAGTAAAATCATTAAAGTGTTAATATTTTTTCAACTCAATTTGACTAATGGTCATAGATTGACAATAGTTTGGCCTCCTATATGATGTTTTAAAAATGGATTCCAAGTTGGGCATGATAGTGCACGCCTGTAATCCCAGTGGCTTGGGAGGCTCAGGCAGGAGGATGGCCAATTTCTAAGCCAGCCTCAGCAACTCAGCAAGGTCCTATCTCAAAAGCAAAACATATAAAAGGCTGGGGATGTGGCTCAGGGGTTTAACATCCCTGGGTTCAATTCTTGGGACAGAAAGAGAGAAAGAGAGTAAGAGAGACAGAGACACACACATGGAGAGAGAGAGAGAGAGAGAGAGAGAGAGAGAGAGAGAGAGAGAGAGAGAGGGAGAGAGAGAGAGAGAAGCAAAGGAGTTAGGGAGGGAGGGGAAAGGAAGGGAAGGAAAGGATGGAGAAAGGAAAGAAAAGAAGAAACCAGGAAAGATTTTAGCACACAGCATTTTATAAATGGGAAAATATAGGTTGGTAAAGTGACAACCTCTGACCACAAAATAACTTATTAAAAGTAACCTGCCTAGAATACAGAAGTTATTGAATTTTCCCTTGTGGCCACACCACAAACCATGAAAAATGTGGTGCACCATCTGAAATACATTAAACTTCACTGGCACTTCAAATAGATTTCCTACACCATAAACCATAAACCATACAGAAATCTAATTAATGTACTGAATGTACATCAGCCACAATCGAATTTAAGAGGAAAAGATAAAGAAGATACCAACTGCCATTAAATTGGGTGAAAGTTTTTATACTGTCTTGTTTAAAACTCCCTTAAAGCAGGAAATGCATCTAAAACATGTGAAAAAGTTGGTAATCTCTCTGAACATATATATTTTAGTGACTGGATTCACTCTACTTCTAGTCTCTCTAACTTTTGACAGTTATATTGGCTATGAAAGTGCTAAAGATGAATCAAAATTTGTTTCCCCATTTTTTCATTTTTTATTGGTTCATATTAGTTATATATAACATTAAGATTCACTGTGAAGTAATTATAAATGCATGGCATATAATTTGCTCTAATTCAGTCCTTAATATATCCCCTTTCTTTTCTCTCCTCATCCCTCATTCCCTTCCCTCTACTGATCTTTCTGCTATTTACTGACAGTTATTTTTTTTTTTAATTAGTATCTTGTGGATGTACATGATGGTGAGATTCACTGTATATTCATACATGCACACAGGAAAGTTAGGTTAGATTCCTTCTCCTGTTTTTCCTTTATGCTATCCCTCCTTCCTCCCCATCAATCCCCTTCTTCTACTCCACTGAAATTGTTTCCCTAATTTTGACCCATTTGTTCTGTTTCTGCCAAGTATAGTTACCTAGTCCACCTTTTTTTGTCCAGTAGTAAACCTTCTGCTGTTTATAGACCCCTCCCCCAATTCTTTCCCCATTAACTATCTCTAGCTGCCTGGAAGTTTCTTATAGGAAAGAAAGAAATAAAGAAGAGTCCCTCACTGGATGGCAGACCATCTTGCTGAAACATGACATGAGAGTGGCTACTGTGTGCCAAGTAGACTGGACACTGTAGGTTAAAATGTTGCCACAGCTGCCTCCATACTGTTATCCAAGGGCCTAAGTCTGTGAGGTGTCCTAGTCACATATCTGATTACTACTGATTTTATGTTAAATTAAAATCTTGAGTTGTTTACATTAAATTTCATCAGATAACATCTTTTCCTCTCCAGTGTTCCATCTATCAGTACTGTTTCTCTCTGTTTGTTCTGCCATAGTCTTAATGCAGGCAGCTTGTTGTTTTAACTATCCTTTCAACTCTGTGTCATTTGTAAATCTGATAAGTGGTTTCCTGTGTTTTCATGCAAGTCATTAATCAAAAACTCTGAATAGGTCAGGGACATGGACAAATACTTTCAGCACACCCTGGGAATTCCATTCCAGAAGATATGTGGGCACTTATTAGAACTACTAGGCACATACTAAAGTTTTGCTTAGTTAAAACCTAAAGAATTCTGAGACGAAAAAATCTAGGAGATTTATTCTAATTTCATATTTACACTATATGTTATATGATTTAGATTTACTGTTATTTCTTATTTTTTGAGGGTGTGTTAGAGAACACTACAAATTTTCCATGATTAAAGCTGCTCAAAGAGCTGTAAAACACTTATTCTATGAGTTAGAAATTATTATCTCCATGTGCAAATTTAGAAGCAAACCTTGAAGGGAGTTATTAATTTGATTAAGCTTACATGGACAGTGGTAATGAATTCAAACCCAGATCTAAGCAACACTTGTTCTAATTAGTTCTCTTAACTAAACAGTTCAGCTCTCTTCTCCTTCAGCCTCCACCATTATCTCACCATACCTGGGAAAATACCCCATCCGGAGCCTGGATGGTTTTCTTTCATAATAATACCACTTCACTTTCTTTCTGCTTTTATTATTAATTCAATATTGCTATACAATCAAATCCACCATCTTTCTTATTCAATGATAATGACAAAAAGCATAAAAAAGAGCCTACATGTTTCTGTGTACATAAAACAGTTCACATGCACAGAGAGAAACACATGAGACCATTTCTATCACAAAATGATTTAACAACTCCATTGTGCAAAAAACATTATCAAAGGCAGCATTATAGATGAGACATTTAATTAGCAACATTAGTAACTATTCATGGTCCAATTCTTTGTCAAACAAACCAGTATAGAATAACAGAACTTGCAAACTCAGTCAGAAAAAAGGAGTGTTTAGATCTCTCCCCAAACATTAATAAGTTCCTCAGGAGACTTTGTGGGGGTATATTTTGGCCACATTCTATATAGTTTCCCCAGGTGATCCCTTCCTGAGCAATGGCTCCATTTTCCAACTCAAAGTCAATTATTTTCTAGTGCATTTCTATAGTACACCATAGAGGCCTCAAAGATCTCCCCCTGCCAAAGATCCTATTAGGGGTCTCACAGGGACTTCACACTTAGCTGTCCCAAACTAAACTTGCCATCTATCTCTCCTTCTCCAGTGATCATAGTTTTAGGCCACATATGCATGCCAGAAACTTGGGAAACACCCCAGTTTTTACCTTTTGCATTCCTTATAACCAACCTCTACAATCCTAAAGCAATACATTATTTTTTTAAATATCCAAACTAGTTATTTGTCTTTATTTATACTGCTCTCTCCCTAGTAAACACTACTTTTTTTTCTCTCTCTTGGTTACAGCCAATGCTATGTAATTGGCTCACTACCACCATCCATTCTTTCCTGTCTACAAAAAACAAACAGGGACATCCATTACAGACAGGGACATACCTATAAAATCCAAATTGTATCACATCACTTCCTTGCTTAATAGAATTCTATTACTTCCCCCCAGAAAAAAAATTAAAATTTCACACCGTGCCTTACATGAACTGTATTGGAAGCCTCATCTTTTACCAATCTCTTGTTTCAAATCCTACTAGATTTCTCTCATTTTATAAAGTCACCATGTTGGACAGTTTCTAGGGACCTTTTTTTAAAAACATATTCTGTAAATGCAGTGATGACTATATCGAATTACTTCCACTTCAGTATAAAGAATGTCATACTAAGACCACTTTTTCCAGATTTATTGGCGAGGTAGAAGGGAGTAGGGAGTGGACTGAGGTACCAACCTGAATGAGCATCCAGCTAAATTGGCAAAGATACAGGTAATGTGTGATGGCAGCCATGGCTGAACAGCTGTCCTCAGTGAGTTGGGGACTTACATATGCAGATACCAGGAACACAATCTGGAAGAAACAGATACTTCTATTTTTAAGTCATACTAAACTTGATGAAGAATGTTAAAAAAGGAAAAAAAAACTGCTTTCTCATCTGAATTTATGATTCAAAGGAAAAAAAATCAGTTGAATTGTTGCCCAAATTCATCTAAGTCTTTCTAAAAATGGAAATATATAAATGGATTTTTGTATTTCTAAGAAAAAATAAAGGATATGAAATTATGCTACATGTTGCTATGGGCTCATAAGAGGAAATTCTCAAAGCAAACCTCATTCTTACCATTGATAAAACCAAAATCCTATGAAATAATTTTGTTTTATCTAATTAGAGAATAGGAAACAGAGTGACAACACCCTTCCTGGTTTAAATCAAAGCTGATTGAAAAGAAAAGAACCCGAAGCTGTATTTTTTACTTTGATTTTACCATCACATGTTACATAATATATATAACAAAACAGATGTCAAGTGAGTTTAGAAATCAAATTCTATGATTACCTTAATCCTTGGATTTTTATTAAAACTACATTTAAGACTTTTTTTGGAAATCACCTTCACAATGAAGCATCTCTTGACTATATTATTTAAAATTACACCTTTTGTTTTTATCTGCTTTCCACATGAAAGTCTTCTGACTCTTTATTTTTCCAAACACTACTCATCACCTTCTATCAAGCTCTGTAATTTACTTATTTAATATTTTTCATTGTTGTATCTGTTAGTCTTACCCACTAGAATGTAATCTGTGCAAAAGTGGGATGTTTACTTACTGATGTATCCCAAGCGCCTAGCTCAGTGTCTGGTACCTGGTAGGTGCTTAAGAAATACTTTCTGAATAAATTAACAAATGAAGTACAATACTTTTCGTGATTTCTATCTATCACTTTGTTTTTATTCCAAACACAAGAACCATATACATTTTCTAATGAAAAATGTAGCTGGCAAAGGAAAATTTGGACCAATAATATTAACACAACAATGTCTCCATCAATAAATTCCCCCAGGATTCAAGAATTTCTTCTTCTACATCATTTTTATTAGTGCATTATAGTTGTACATAATGACGAGATTTGTTGTTATGTATTGATACATGCACAGACTATAACAATATAATTTGGGCAATATCACTCTCTAGCACTTCCTCCCTCCCTTTCCCCTCCCAGTCCTTGTTCCTTTCCTTCACTAATCTCCCTTTGTCAGTTCAAGTTTTTAACCTTATACTTTTAGAGGCTACTATTGTGCCTAGAATATAAAGTGGTCAATAATTATTATCAGAATAAATGATTAGTTCCCCCAAAGGGGTGATTGTATATACGAAGGAAACTAGCTAAATTATATCTCAAAAATGCTTGCTTTCTTCAAAGGAGAAGCCTTAATATTCTTTGAATTTCCTTCTAAAAGTGAATAAAGTGCTCAAAAATAAATCATAACATTGTGACAAGGCATTATTTTAGTTTTCAAGTGATGTGCCCCTCCCAAATTCTCTTGTCCAAAGAGTATGTCAACTCTCTTCGAAAACTTCTGCCCAAAGTTGTTCTTAGGGCAGTTATCACACGGGTCAATTTGTCAGGATTGCAGTGAGGCCTTCCATGCCGATACAACCTCCATTTCACAGTGAAAGACTCACCTTACTCACCTTCCTTAGGCAATAATTGCATAAGTTCCAACATTACTTAATAATAAATGGATGGGCTGTGGCTGTGGGCCCAGAGGTAGAGTGCTTGCCTTGCACGTGTGGGGCACTGGGTTCGATCCTCAGCACCACATAGAAATAAATATATAAAAAGATATTGTGTCCATTTACAACTAAAATAATTTTTTTTTAAAAAAAAATGGATAATGGATCTCATAAAATTGCTAAAGTAACTTTTCCTTTTTGAGAAAAAAATTATTTTTGTATTGAAGATTGAATTCAGGCACACTTTACCACTAAACTACATCCTTGGTCCTTTCTATGTTTTTTTTTTTTTTTTTTTCTCAGACAGGGTCTCACTAAGTTGGCCAGGCTGCCCTTGAGCTTGTGATCCTCCTGCCTGTGCCTCCCAAGTTGCTGGATCACAGGTGTGCTTGAGAACTGTTTATTTGAAGACCTGAACTAGTTACTTGCCTCTTCCTGGCCTAATCCCTTCATCAGTAGTAGCTAGAAATTTGAAAAGATAAAGTATAAAGTTCTTTTGTACTCCACAATTACAGAATTATTTTTAAAATTCACATTACTGATTCAACCTTCTATTTATTTAGCCCTGAATTTGGAACATGTGTAATACATACTATTAATGGTAGAGAGTTGTGTTCACATCACCCAGTAGTATTAGGGCTTCAATTTGAGTAGCACCTCTTTTATGAAATTAGTTGCACCCACATTTGGGGCTAATTATTTATTATTATTATTATTTCTTCTTGTTGGATTGTTCCTTTACCAATATGAACTGACCTTCTTTGTCTCTGTAGATTAATTTTGGTGTGAAATCTGTCAGATATGAAAGTAGCTACTTCTGCTTTTGGGGGGGGAGGTTCTATTCACATGGTACATCAACTTCTATCCTTTCACTTTCAGCTTGTGGCTGTCTGTAAAGTGCATTTCATGCAAGCAGCATATAGTTGTATCTTTTTTTTTTAATACTTTCTTCCAATCTATGTCTTTTAATTGGAGAGTTAAGACCATTTCCATTCAACATTATTAGAGAGAGATGCTTATTGACTCCTGCCATTTTGATTTATTTTTCATATTTAATTTGGCCCTGTTTCTAATTTGCTTAGTTACTCTTCAAATGAGATTTTTTTCTTGTGTGAGCTTTGAGGTTTATTTTTCAAAATTTCTTCTGTGTGTAGTATTTTAAGTTATGTGTGCTGGTTTAGTAGTCATGAATTCTTTTAGTTTCTGCTTATCTTGAAAGGTTTCTAGTTTTCTTTGATTTTGAAGGATAGTTTTTATGAATACAACTGTCTAGGTTGACAGTTATTTTCTTTTAGGACCTGGAATACATTGTTCCAAAACCATCCTGGCTTGTAGAGTTTATGTTGAGAAATCAAAAGTGATTCTGATTGGGTTGGCTCTAAATATGACTTGATGTTTTTATGTTGAGGCTTTTAAAATTTTATCCTTGTTCTGTATGTTAGGCATTTTAATTAAAATGTCTTACGGAGAGGTTCTTTTTCGATCTTCTCTGCTTGGAGTTCTGGATGTCCATCTCAGTCTGAAGGTTTGGACACTTTTATGTTATTATTTCCCTGAATAATTTATCCATTCCATTAGCCTGTATCTCATATATTTTAAAAATGCTAAAAATGAGGAAAAAAGAAACACATATGTATATATATATATGGTCATGAGCCAATCAGCACAGCAAAATGAAAGAAAGAAAGAAAGAAAGAAAGAAAGAAAGAAAGAAAGAAAGAAAGAGAAAATTAGAAAGATTATTATTAAAAAAAAAATTAAGGAATCATTTCTACTGCAGTGGTCAAAATAGTCAATGGGAATAGATGGACACTGACTTTGCCTGACTGTCTTTCTTTCCATTTCTTCTTGGGCAATGTTCTGACAGCAAGAGCAAGGGCCAGGCATCACAAATCCCTGTCTCTCTTTGTGTTTCTCACTGAGTTGCCAGTTAAAGTAGCCTAAGACTGAAGCTGGTTCAAATAAATCTCAGCTTCTCTTCTCCCCAGTATGATGTAGTATGGGATGGGAAGTACTGTCAGTTGGAGAGCTTGTCTGCACAGACCAGATCCATGCACTACTAGGGTGGGACTGCTGCAGGGTTTTATGAGTGGAGTTCCAGCAGGTGGGGCTTAGGTCTAATCAGGCCTCAGGGGCTTTACTGGGGTGGCTTCTACTCTGGAGAGATTAGATCAACATATTCCTATGGCCTGGCAGTTGCTGATATCTGCTGGGAGTCTGGATCTTGGGAGCCTCCCAAGGATTCTGCTTGTCAAGTGGGGGAGCCAATTCTTCACCTCCTCTGCTGCCCATAAACACAGCCTTTTCAGGCTTCCTGGGCTTATTCCCTGAGTGTATTCACACCTGCCTGTCCAGATTCCTGACGCACTTCAGCTGCTCACATAAGCCACCAGATTTTTATAAAGGGGGAACTGAGGACTTGAATCCCCTGGGTAAAACATTCTCTTTGCCTGTTTTGCGCACATTCTGCTACGTACACCCTGGCTACATGGAAGGTGATTTCCAGAACAGTGCAGCTGTATTTTTTCAGATTTCCCAGCTCCCAGAGCAGTTGATACAGTATGGCTACCTCAAGATGTCTTCCTGCCTTAGCTTTTCATTGCCAGTTCGGAAACACTGAACACTTTTTAAGCACCAGTGTACATGCGGCTTCTGGATTAGCTAAAGGCAGGTTGCTTTCTGCAGGTTTTTTTCATATTAAATCTGTCCACTGTATTACTATCTGTTTCCATCATCACTACTACTGCTTCCACTGCTGCAGCAATTGCCTTGGCTCCAATGTAGTCTTTCTTCTTTGTTTAATGTACCCAAATTTCTGAGTCTCTAAGATACTCTTGACTGCCCAGTATTGAGTTTTAGTGATATCTCTCTTTGACCCACCTGGCAGAGAAGCAGTACTCCTGCTGCTTGAATCTCAAGTGAAGGAGCAACTAGGAATGCAGCCTTCCTCTAGTCTGCCATCTTGAATCCTCTGAAGTAAGAATTCTTGGAGAATCACGTATTACATGTGCCAAGTCTACCCCAAACTAATTTAATTTAAATTAAAACTGAAATGAAATCATGAAATAAAGCATCCCTGGTTTCAACCCCCATTATCAAAAACAAAATCTCCCAGCATATTAAGCTCACATATCTTTAAGATGACATAAGCTAAGAATAGATGGATTTTTAACATTGTTCTTTTATTCAGACACATTGTGATGACAAGGTAGAAGGTAATTCTGACAGCATCATGTTTAACACAATAATGGAGAAAAAGGAATTTTTTAAAAGTTCTCATTCATATATTCTTTATATATTGATTCATTCAGAAAGTGTTTTGAGCACCTGCTG